GTGTCGATTATTAGGTCAATAACAGCCATTTTTTAGTTTTCACGCTTGGAACAAATTTGTAAAAATCTTCACTACTTAAAATGCCTTTGACGTTCAAAAACTAAATTGCTATTTTACTAGATACATGACAACAGATTTCTGCATCAGGAAGCCACCGTCCATTAAATGCCATTTTTCGACTTTTTTCAAAAATATCCGTGTTACAACCTTTGCTGGTTCCACAAAAAGAAAAAGGAATTTGTCAGAAAGCGCCGCAAAAGCGGCCAACCGTGAAATGGTCAAGTTTCGAGATAATGATCAGCAGTGCAATATCTTGCATTGGCAAAAAGTTAAGAAATCTAGAATTCAGCAAATGCTGCTTGACTTCTACAGGATAAAATAAATTTTTTGTTATTCAAAAGTCCTACAATAAGTGGTTTTTAAATTGGTAGCAAACTGGCAGCTATTTCTGTAATTGAAGTTGCATTTCAGTTTAGATTATATAATACATCCAAATATTACTTTTTTCAGTAACATATAAAACTAAAACTGCATGTTTCTTTTCAGCTCTTCATACCGCTTGAACTTCATTCGTCTACCAAATAATGAAATCAAAGGTTGCAGAAAACACAGAACACTCTTATGACTGATGATCAACAGCGATGTTTGAATCTATCAAAGTGTCATTTAAGGCGGCAATGAAATACGTCACTCAATCTCTGGGTCGAATTCTATTTTTTAAAACTCATTATCCGATTAGATCGCTGCCAGTTTTGTGCTTTACAAGTTAGAAAATTAAATCTCGAGTTAATAAGGCCCATTAATTGAATGCAGTTACACATGCTAAGATGACCATATGAGGCAAAAAATAACATTAAAAAATTCCATGACGATCATGTTTATTACATAATTAAAGACAATAATGTGTTGTTTCCAAAGCATTTCTTAAGAAATAGGCATTTTCCACTGTTTGCCTGTGTTGATTACAAAGTTGATTAGCCATGAGCGTTCGAGCCAATAAATCAGCTACCGCTCTCTCAGTAAATAAACAATTTCCGAGCTTGATAAATGTTATGGGCATTCAGGTCGGAAAGATGCGTCAAACACCAGAGGCTACTGGTTTTATTTCACCGTCGTAAAATGACATCTTGAGCAGCTAATAATAGTTTACTAATACCGCTAGAATCTGGAACGGCAATCACCGAGTTAAAAAACTAGAGAAGAGTATAATCTGAAAGTGGCACCACTTAGGTTTCTGTTCTGCATACCTCAACCCACCGCACTCTTATTTGACACGAAGTAGACCGATGAATAGCAGATTTACTGAGTCTCCACGTTTACTCAAAGAAAGAAACTGGATCTTGCATTAATGACTAACGGCAGGTGCATTAAAAAATAACCATGGCTTACTTACTCCATGCTTTATCAAATTGTAATTTCTTGTACACCTCCTCTAATAGGAATGTAATTACACATCTTTTATTCGGGTCCTGAAAACGACTGTCAAAGTGCTCAATACAATTTTTGGAACTCCGAGATCTGGTTGAAGACTCCCATACTCTACCGACTGAACGAATTTAGCAGTGACATTTCATATCTGCCCTCTAAAATCCTCACTTATATACCAGGGCGCATTTTGCAGCTTGGTTGGCTAGAGAGTTTGAAATCAGTTTTTCCTTGCTAGTCAACTTTTACTCTCGAACTAGCTCAAATAGTAACAGATTTTGCTGACGTTCTTGCATGAGATTTTTATTGCCAATTTTTGTTGTCTAGTACACACTGGTGAGCTAACGACTGTAGTGTAAGTGGCGAAGTGCAGTGGAAAACGAGTCGATCACCGGAAGTGAAATTTAATCGTTTCGGGTCTGCTGCTGTCAAAGTGCATTTTTTAGTTGAAGCTAAATAAGTAAGCCGCAGTTATTTTGTTTTCCGGTTGCTACTTCAGTGTGAATCTGAGATGAAGCTAACTGGAACACCCAATTGAGTATTTAATGTTGCAAAGGCGTCTGAACCGCAGTTTAATTGCAGTAACAGTTTTGCGGTACAGATCGCTTCTTTGGCAGGATAACGATAATTGCTTTGCTTCTTGTTTTCATATGTGATTAAAATAAAACTCAAAAATTCAACAGCTTTTTTTTGTGTTGGTCAGCTTACTTAATCAACCATTAGTGGCATCTGAAGTTAAATTTTTTTCATTTTAGCTAATTCCCACAGGCTTATGGGCAGAATCTCTAATAAACGGAATGCTACTAGTTCGCTGCAACTTAAAGTATGGACAAATTACGAGTTTGAAGAAATCATCCATCTTAATGCCGGCTTGTTTACAGGGGAACTGCGCACTGCTCTTACACAGAGCGGTTTACTCAACGCGAAGGAGAAACACCTGCTATAACGGATTCATTGAAACAGCCATGGCACAATGCAGATCGGAACAGCAACTTTTAGGTCTTCGGCCGAACGCTCTCCAAACTGGCTCCTCACGTCTCCCCTAATAGAGAACTTTTTTGAAAATCTCTGTTTAATGTGAGTTAAATAGAATATGAGTGGCCAGAAGTATTTTAAATTTTGAAGGCAGGAGAGATTTAACAGAGAACTGAATCCAGACTATCGCTTTCGTTTGATTTAGGTTAACTGTACCACATGGTAGCAAGTAAGCATAGTTGCACGCGCTGACCACATAATTTAGGGTCGGTAAATCAAAACTGCTCGCTGCTGATTTTTCGACAAAAGGGTTGCTTTCTTACGTCGTTCAGCTTAAATGTTTTTGTTTTAGAATGTTCAAGACGCGTGACAGAGGTAGAGGAGTATAATACAGTAGGTGTTTTACCTTTAAAAAAAATGTTCTCTGTTTACTGTTACTGCAAAAAGTTGCTTATAATATGTGCTAGTGAAGCCTACTCAATTTGCAGCCAGACTTTTTAACGACTTCGACATCTGCATCGTCGTACATATTTTTGGCTGATCTAGAAAAATTTGGTTTTTCGTACCTGTTTTTTAACTGAAAGACAATATTTCTTTGGAGAGAAAGCAACAAGCAGTTGAAACTTGTCTAATGTAAATGAAGAAGCTTTATAGCGTCGGAGATCTTAAATTCGACTCTTGCGAGTGAGAGTAAGCACTTGCTGATTTTTTTTTTTACTTTCATAAAACAAATACTAATGAAAGGCGTCTTTAAAATTATACATTTTTTACAAATGCAACAAACAGCCTTCGGCTTTTCTGCATTTCAGTGATGAATTTTGCACCAGAATCTTTGTTCAGTAAACTGTTGTGAGCATTATTTTGTTTTCTGGACATCTACAGTAGAAATTCGTCTGAAACACCAATGTTAATGCGAACAAGTGACCGACTAGGTCGGTCAGTGAACTACCAATTGAGCGGAGTTTCCCCGCACCGCATAAATTCGAGCCTTATCCTCGACGGGTGATGACAAGGGCGGTGTGCTGCAGGACGACAAATTTGTGCGTTATCAATACTAAAGTGTCGAATTTCCAAATTCACAGCACCAAAAAAAAAAAAAAAACATATTTACTCTACATTTTACTGTAGAGGATCGACGACTTAATAGTTGAGAAGGATAAACAGATAGTTCGGTTTAAAGAAATGCATACTGGTAAGAATGAAGTTCACAAGTGAATGGAAGAAAGGGTTTCCCTCTGATTGTCTTAAACAAGCACATTAGACCATTCATATAATCTTTTGTCGCAGGTATGGCGTCGGACGAAGAAAAACAGATGAAACACGAAAATGCTGGATGGAAAGAAAGTCTAGAATCAGTTTTTGTTTATCAAATGGTTGCTAAAGGTATTGCAGATAAAAAAGAATCTACGACGCGTGATTAAACTTTTATTTTGTTTGTTCAAACCTGGGTAACGAAACTGATCAAATAAAATCATTAAAAAATCTATAAGGCTTGTAACTTCAGAAATAGAAAGGCCGTGTTGCAATAGTATGACGCCTAAA